TGATATTTATATATATTTTAATTCTCATTAAATAATGATTTTCTTATCTTATCTTTCTATTCTTTCTTAATAACTTTTTCTTTTTGTTTTTTACAAAATTTATTATCGAATTTCTTTTTCAAACGAAATGATTCAATTCTTTATTAATTTTTCTGTATTAATTATTTTCAGATAATATCCACAACGTAGAAAGTATTAACTAAACAATCAAATTAAGAATACTAGTAATAAAAATTAGAGAAAGGGCACGAGAAGCAAATTAGACATAACTGTGTTTGCAAACGATGTTTTAATTTATAAAAAGTAAAATATCCATGTACATATATATATCACGTGTATATATATATATATATATATAAATATATTTTTTCATATATACGTTTTTCATTTTTATTACAAAAACCTCAATATTGTGTACTTCGACGATGCAAATTTTGTGTGCTTGTAATGTTCCTGATATTACGAAATTAATGATTTGTTTGAATTTACAAGAGGAAATAGAAAAAAGTACTGAAATTACTACGCTTTTTAGCGCACAATTATTTGGGTATTGCATGCGTCTAAATTTTTGTACAATAAATTACGTGAAGTATATTTTTAAAGCCTATACCTTAGACTATGTTGTTTACGTTTGGCATGGCTTTTGTTCGTTTTGTCTTCAGATTCTTCATCCTTTTCTTCATTTTCAAGCCTTAATTCAGGCAGATTATCCGTGGCAGTAGCCTCTGTTTCGCTATTATACTGGCTAGGATTGGGAGAAGATATGGCAGCTGTGGTAGCTTCTTGAGGCTGGTTTGTTTTGTTGAGTTCTGCTGTTGTGGCTTCTTTATACACTGGACTAGCTATCTTTGGCTCCTGTACCACAGGAGCAAAAACAATTTGCAAATGTTTATCCTTAAATAGTTTGCCTCTTAATATCGCCTGTTCAGCGTTTATACGTGTAGCGTAAGAGAGTATCAACTGAGGTTTTTCCAAATCCATGTCATGCTTTGTAGTTTCCCCGAAATGCTGTTTATAGATAATTAAAAAAATGATTACAAATTGGAGTTTAATTTATATTTTAAACTACCTTAAAGTGCCCTAGAACAAAATCAGCTTCTTCACTATTAAAACCCGTTACCACAATGTTCTTAGGACGTCTGTCTACGCGGGTGGAACCTTCAGGATAGGAGTTTCGTGCACGCGCGGTATTCCTGCTCGCAGCCATGTAATGACTGGATTTGGCCAGATTAAAAGGAAAAGCATCGGAGCTGCTGCCCGAAATCCAACTCCAGCTGCATTGCGCACATAATCCGCGGCGCCGTTACTGACAAAGGCTCTCGCAATTAAAGCAGATGGATGAACAAATAAGGGATAATATAGCATCAACATATTTAAAGTTTTATTCGCCAACGTGACCATCGTAAAATGTGAAGATTAAGGCAAAGTTAAATCTTAGAGACTTTAAAAGATCGAATAAGTTGCTTTATCTTTCGATATGAAAAAAAAAAATTCATTTTTATCTTATCTAATTTGGGTTAGACTAAAATTGCTTCGTCGTATTTTTTTAAGTGCAAATTAATTCAACAATTGCTTAGTTATTTCCCCAATAATTTCAAATGCATCATTTATGTCTGTTAACGTTAACAAACGGTTTGCCGTAACACGTAAACTGGGGCGCACTGATTGTTTTTCTATGCTGTACAGGTAACAAGCTTCAATCAGAGCAATACCACGAGCAATACATTGAAATGGAAAATTACATGATCACACTGATTATTTCTTCGCAAATATTCTGTTATTATACCTTACCAGATATTTTCATTAACTTTTTACGCTCTTTATTGACCTACTCCCATGTAACGTTTAAATATATGTGTTTAACTGGGGAGAGTGGATGGCCTCATATGGTTAGCTTAGAGAAATTGGAAACTATTTGATGTATTAAGCACGATTCTTAGAGTTTCACAAAAAGCAAAAAGAAAACAATTACACAGTAAAACAGCTGTTCAAGATAACGGCAATAGGATTCATTTATAAACATAACTTTCCTTGCCTATCTCTTCTCTGTGTGTTTTTTTCTCTCATTAAACATTTACTGTTTTGGTTGCACGCTATACTTTTTTGGTTCCCTCTTGGAGTTATACCAAGTTTGCTACTATTTGATGCAACTTCGACATGCCTGAGATGATCACATCGTAAAGAGTTGTATATCGTAAGTAAATGTATGCTGACAGTCTGGCAAGCTCTATAAGACGCGCACATTTTTAATCAGCTGCTTTTATTGTTTACTAGGAATGATTTTTTTGTGAAAAGCGGGTTATTGCAATTATTGATCTTTAAGTGAATTGGTTAGAATTTCGGTAATGGTAATGAATATTCTCGCGGTAATTGGCGCAAGTCTTGTAAGTTTTAAAATCGTGAATTAACAAACAATATTTCAACAAAAATTAAACAGTTTGCTTATCAGTTCAAGTGTGTGAATCTGTACGTAAATGTTAAATTTAATTTTAATAAATTTTTTTAGCTGTTGTGTTTAAGAAAGCCACTTATTAAGCAAAGTGTTGTAAAAAAAACAACCGAAAAGAGTAACTTCCTAAATTATCAACTAAAACTGCAAAATCGTGTATCGATGCTATCAATGGCCTCGCTAACGCTGTTACAACGACACGCACAAACTCAACATTCTTCATTGGATGAGGAAAATATAGTATTGTGTAAAGCATCATTTACATTACCCGCAAAAGCAGTTTTAGAGGAGGTTTTAGTGAATAACGTTGAAAGTCAACGTTCGACCTATGCAGGCCGAAAGTCCCAGGAGAATGTCATTGAGAAGGTCATTGACCCTTGCACTACGCTAACAATAGAACCTGCATCACCGCAGTGCGTCTGGTTTTATGAAGTTCAGTTGCCAGCGTCTGAAAATGAGAAGGTAAGTGCAAAATAATCACTAGCTATTGTACAATAAATATGGTCATAAGTATATAAGGCCATCCATTCACCCTGTGCGTATGTATAAATCTTAAATCTACTAATACTAACTTCGATGGTAAATGAGAAAACTGTCCTGCCTGTCGACAACGACTATACAAATAACAAAAAATGTAATTAGTTTATTACGGCTTTACAGGGATGTGTGTTGAAGATTTATATCAAACACGATCTACACACGTATCACTCGTTTTTTTCAGATAAAATTAAAAATAGGTTTTTCATTTTTAGTAATATGTCTGGCGAAAATATTATTAATGAGAAAGAAAGACAATTTATTTTCATTCAATTGCATATGCTAAAGAAGAGAATTATTTGTTTTACGTTTTCTTACTACACAATAGCAAAAAGTTTTGAAAAACAGCTATGTAAGCGAGAATTGTAAGCATTTGCAAGCACCACCTAAATCGCTACTGTTGGCCCAAACCGAAGATTACATAGAATATTCGCGTAGCGGCAAAGTCATTAAAGGAATGGAAAAACCAAAGCTCGTAGTATATATGAGGAGGATATGCATCTTAGTAATATATAAACTGGGATTAGCTGGGAAAAATGAAAATCTCATATTAATTCTTTCCATATATTCATACAAGTGCTTGAACTATAATATATAATCTTGTATATATAAATGTATAAAAAATATACATTCATCTCCCCTTGTACGTCCCCTAAATAGTTTTATACAATTTTTATAGGCGTGGCATTCGATTTTCCCCTATTTTGAAAAATTGAAATCGTAGTAAACATATTTAGTATGTTGTTCAAAAATAAAACTTGAAAAATTAACTCGAAATTTAATATAAAAACGGAACATATTGTGGAAAAGTATGGTGGTGAAGAACAGCACTGGTATTCTCCCAATCTTTATTTTCTATACCACTTATGGTAGAGTGTATTTTAAGTGTGGACGTATATAACATCCAAAGGAGCTTAAGGTAGACCCAGCGATCGATTCGGAATCATTTTCTAAATCGATCTAAGCCTGTCTGATGTCTGCCCCACTTTATGTAAGACATCCCAAGCAAGTCCTTCGAAAAAAATCTCAACTTTTGATAATTTATGATGAAAATAAATTCATAGCAGCGTTTCAGCAAAAAAGTTAACGGCAGAAAATTTGGATCATATAAGCCTATTTGTTTTGGAAACCAACATATATAGTTATCACGAATCTCAAACTCTTATATGAAAATCTAACCTTCCAATATGCGGGCTTTCATGACAATTATGGCTTTGCGTGAAAATAATAGGTACTTCTTGGAGTATTATTACCAAAACGAGCGTATAACAGTCTTAGGCGAAGTGGTGTAGGGTATATAAGAGTAGACATTGTCGACTATAATGTTCTTACTTGTTTTTTATACTAAGTTAAAAGAGGGCTGGTTTTTTTGTTCAAAATTAAATAAAAACCAGTAATCATTAGAAGAGCGTGTCTGCACTGAGAACGATGTGGTTGATCTCGTCAAATCATTTCACGTTTACATTGCGTTCAAATTATTAATCGGTTAATTTCGGCTTATAAACATATCCTTTTTGTTTACTTACCAACAAATGTTGAACAATGCAAAAAAATGAAAAGAAATTAAATAATAAAAACAAGTAAGAACATTATAGTCGGGCAAGGCCGACCATTAAATACGCCACACCACATTGTTTAAGATAATTCTTATTTTTATTGCAGAACACAAAAATTATATCTTGTCTCTATATAAAGACAAAATTTCATGTGCGTATTTAAGGAGAAGCGGGCCCACAACGCAACCTAACGTAGTAAAAGTTTAATCCTTACATAAAATAGGCGTAAATGGTATGAATTTTGTGGAGTTTGTTTTCTGCCCCAAAAATAAAAATTTTTGTGAAGATTTTAAATGAGATAATATTGAAAAAAAAGATCGAAATGAACCGAACTTAGTACAGTGAACTTTTTATCTTAATGATCGTTATGATCAGGTTTTCGTTATGAAAAATTGAAAATTAGACCTTTTTTCATCATATGAGAGGAGATCAAGAAAATGGCCCCAGCCGGTCCAAAGTTTTCAAACCAATTTGGAATGCCGAAATACTACTACTTAGTCAATTTGCGGAAAAATTTTGAAAATTAAAAATTTTTTCCATACAATGACTTTACAGAATAGGGCTTTATATGGTAAGTGGTCGAAAAAGTGGGTCGATCCAAACAATTCTCAACGGTCTTTGTTCTTGGGCCAAAACACGTCGCAGTTCCATATTTCCACAAAATCTCTAATATCTTAAAAAAATGCGACCTGTAACTTGACCACAATTTCACATGGACAAACATCAGACGACGGGTAGGCTAAGGTCAATTCAGATTATGATTCTTAATCGATCGGTATAATAAAAGGTGTGTCTATTTTAAGCCCTTCCATATGTTACATACGCTAGCTTAACCTCTAACCACTTGTGGTATAGGATATAAAAAAAAAAATATCCACTGCTTAAAGAAGAAGTAAGTTATGCTTATCGCTGCTTATTGTTGTCTTTACACCTTCACTTATAAAATGCACGTCTCAACGTGTAACATCTGTATCAGATTTTTTGCATTCCGGTTCATTGGCTGCGGGCAATTTTCTTGTAAACAAACAAACAAAATTGGCACCAAAACAGAAGGGCAGCTTTCAACATAATTAATAATTTTTTGTATTACTGTTAAAAATGAAAGGCAATATTAATATAAAATGTATCTAAAAAGATAATATGTAAATTCTATTGCAAGGTGAGGAAAATAACAACCTATTATCCCTCAATCGGAACTGCATAACAATATAGGTACAATGTTTTAATAAATAAAAAGAAAGGATATAAACTTAGAAATTAAATATTAATATAGATTATTTAGTCTTAAAGCACTAGCATCTATGGGCCTTATAAAAAATTTTTCACATTTCACTCGCGACAGTTGAGTTATTAGACGAGATTATTTGCCTATTCGGCCACTCAGGCGGATAGAAATTAAATAATTTAAGAGAAGAAATGGATGGAGTCCCAAATGGAACATCCAGTATATATACCTTTTCAGTCATTTTATTTCATTGGATTGATCTAGAAGATATAATGCCAAAGGATATAAGAGATTACTCAATCGGACACGAGGAAAATTTGCTTTTTTGTCAATTTTAGCCGAATTTAGGAAAACGGTCGAAATCATATGATAAATTACCCAGAATCAGTATAAATTGACTATAATATATGTGTCCTAAAAATATGCACTTCTTTCATATTTCTATTGTAGGCTTTAATTTTAAGTAAGCTTATATCTGTTCTCATTAGCTCATTAGGAAAAGAAAGTAGATATTGTTTACCCTATGATCACGGTTTAAGAATATGCAAATTTTTATATGTTGATGCAAACCTCGGTATTTTAAAATATTTGAAAAATTTTCAACTTTAGAAGTTTCACATTTTCTCTACGGTGGTTAAATGCGCTGAGTGCGATATTTATTGGTATTTATCCCCGTGCAATAGAGGGTTTTTCTTGCTCACAATACAATTAAATGCACTTTACTTAATCATTGTAAAGCAATTGATAGCTGCATCGCTGATTCGATTATTAATTGATTCTATTATATTAATAATTTTCATTTTTTCCAACATTTAATATCAATGAATGATATGAGATGACCAATGAGAGATATATATAAAGTTTGTTGTGTTATTGCGTATACGCAATTTTTATAAGCTGGAAAAAGCAGAAAAGAAGTGGCTATACTTTTATTAACATTTCTTTATTTTGTTGTTATTTTATATTATTTATAAAACGAAAAAATGTTCTCAGTCTAGAACGTTGGGGTGGCAACTTTTTATTTATTTGCTTTCTTAAAGTAAACAATTTTATTGGTCTTTCTGTAATTTACATGCTTTATAGCCAATTCTCTACATAATATTAGAAAAATTTTATGACCTCTGCTCTTCTGTTAAAAATAAAAGGAAATTCAAGAAACCTTTTACGTATGTGATCTCATCGAAAAGAAAATGTAATTAAATCGCAAAATCTGACCCACATCTTATTAAGAATTGTCACGAACTTCTTACCAAGGATTAGGTTTGTCCAATCACTGTTCAACACATAACTAAATTTTAATGATTCAAACTTAAAGTTAGAGCTGTGCGCGGTTTCGTTAAAGTCCTGTTGATGACCGGCCGTTAAAAGCGCGATATGTGAGGTGTGTGTTTTTAGCAATCGTCGTCGTGTTGGTGAGTTAAAAGAAAAAATGTAATGTAGCAAACAAAAGTTGGCCTTCCTCTCTCTCACTGCATAGATTTTTTCATTTTTTTTTTTTACATGCTTCACCTAATGTAATGAGAGGGTGCACGGTTTTCCCTTTAACAACGGGTGTGTATATGTAATACATTTTGATTAAAACATTTGTATTGCGACATCATTCATTTAACTTGAAAGAAGCATAACATCAACGTCGTTATCGTCATTATTGTCGCTAGTATTATTATTATATTATGCGAAATGTGCTCATCAATGGATAGCAATTGTAGGATAAAGTTGTCATAACAGGGAGTGCTTTTGTTTCATAATTCTCTCGTGTAATTTCTAGTTTTGATTTAACATCATTTTCAGTATTTAAGTTCGGAGATCTTCAGTTTTTCTTTTATGGGTATGTAAATTTAAATTCATTTTTATACTGTTTTTAATATTTATGCCCTGCACGATTTGTGGGACAGGATATATTAAATTTGTGTGGGCGTACGTAACGCCCAGGGGCCTTAAGACAGAGCCCCCTTTAATTTTACTGACCGAGTCAGAAAATGATTCTAAGCTTGTCTGACCGTCTGTCTGTCTGTCTAACTAATGTCCGTCCCGGTATTTTTGCGTTCAACACACTGGCCGCAATTTTTAAGATATTTTGATGAAATTTGGTACATTGACGTATCTTGACCCAAAGAGAAACGCTGTTGAAAATGGTTCGGATCGGTCTTTTTTTTCGATAACTCCCCATAGCGCTTTATTTTCAAAAGTAGTTACGTGGCAAAGAATTGCAATTTTCAGAATTTTTCGACAAAAGTTTCTGAGTAATGGTATTTCTAAATTGGTATAAAAAATTTGATTCAGTTGGGGCAATTTGTTGAACTACTTCTCATGTAACTGAATCTTTGTATGGTGAAACGATTTGATTCTCAATATTTCGTAGTGAAAATAAGTTTACAATAGTGAATTGACAAAGAAGTTAACCTTACCATATTTGGACAACGTCGATCTATTTTTTGGAGAGCATCGTTTATAAAGATTTTCAAGAAAGGTAAAACCTTGCACGCCAAAAACCGTATCTGCCCATATGCTATGATGAAATTTGTACCACATGGCTCTATTTCTTAGACCCCACTCCATATATAAGATTTCTCATGAAGAGTGTGAGACAATGAAGCACTCAGTACTGAATGACTTTCTTCTTAAGAAAGAAAACTTCTTGCTTTTTTTAAGATTTAATTTCATAAAATTTAAAGAGCACCATCATATAACCAAATTATTTGAGTCAATTTTAAGCTGATACGACTGCGAAGAGAAGGAAGAAAAGAGTTAACATCGTCAGCGCACATTAAGTTCTGGCTAATCACCGAGGGTAAATAATTCACGTATAAATTAAATAAAAGTGGTCCTAAATGGCTGGCTTGAAGGACGCCAGACGTCACGGGAAATTCATCCGAAGTGATGAAGTTAAACAGAACCCTGAATGATCTCTTATGCACATAAGAGCTTATCAGCTTCCCTAAGTAGAAACGGAAGCCAGAGGCCTAGAATTTGAAGTTGTGGTGAACTAAGTCAAACGCTTTACCAAATTTATATATACGATATCCGTGCGAAAGCGAAAGAAACAAACTCTAAGAGTTTCGTGACAGCAGATCTTCCTTTCCGAAAGTCATGCAAAAGCAATAGCAAAAGCTAAATGCTGAGTAGCAATTCGCTCAAACAATTTAGATAAGGCATTCATAAACAAATTTTTATAGACGTCACAGGTTAACGTCAAAAATTACATAGCGAGACGCCTCTATGTCGGTTGCTTTTTTTCTTTTGGCACAGATTCTAACCAAGTTGTCTCCATTAAGCGAAAGTTGGAATTTATGTCGATATATTAAAAGATGTTAATCGAGTTTTCTGCCCTTTGTAAAGTTTAAGTACATCTTAATAATGGAATGAAAAGACCTTATTAACATTTTTGTGTAACATTCATTAAATACTAAAAAACTTTTTGACTTAGAATTTGGTACAAATCAAAAATTTAAAAGCAGAATAGTCATGCACAAATAAAAATGGCATTAATCAGCCCACAAGTAACACAATACATGCCTATGTTTACGTACTAGTTGGATGTGAAGGATATCAAAGACTCTCTACAAGTTGGACGTATTTGTTGTAATGGTTTCTCCTTGGTTTTAAAAGGTAAACCGAAGAGATAAAAGGTGCACCCTTTTTACTAGTTCCAGCGATGGGAGGTTTTCCCATTAAAATTTATAACGAGTCGCGTTTATATACACGTCATCGTAAGAAGGAGGGAGGATTTATTAAATTGGTCGAGATTTCGCAATGTGTTCGATAATTCTTCATATACATATACTTGAACCCTTATCGCTGTATTTCGAGCTCATTCGTTTTAAACCCGTCGAGCCGTCTGTCTGTCCATGAAAATTTGCAGTTAAAATTTTCACTAAAGTGAAAATTGAGAATCAAACGTACCTTAAATGTGTTGTAGAAAATTTCAGATTTAGACATGACTTATCTTAACACTATACAACTATTTTATTGTTCTTATTCACAGCTGAGGGGTATGAGTTGGAAACTTTCCGTTGATTTTATCGTGTATGTCGATCGCCTGCTGTTTTATCTCTCTCCGCACTTAAGCTGCTAGTTGAAATCTTTAATTCAACCTAGGAATTTTTGTCTTTCGCGTTGATTGGTATCATAATGTCGTCCTGAGTCCATTTTCTTATTTTTCGAAATAAATATGAAATTTAATTAAACGCAATAGATTTCATTTTTCACTTTTTGTATGTATCTATCTTAATATTTTCCGCAAGTCTGTGGAATCTTAGTACCAATTTGTTGGCCGTGAAACGTTTGGTCCGAACGCATTACAGCAGGTAATAGTGTAATGTTTATATATAGCTCCATTGTCTGTATATACCTATTTGCTTAAAAATATGTTATATTTAGCAAATGTTCAGGGTGCGGCCTACTAAAAAATAGTATATTGTCAGCTTGTCAATCACTGCGTTTGTATGTTTGAAGAAGAATATTACAAGCTACTAAATTATTTTTTGACGCAGTAAATGCATCACACATTTAAAAATGTCTTTCTAGTTCAACATTGAATTTAATGAAAAAGAAAAAATCGATGTCATGTAAACTATAATTTTTTTTTTTTTATTTAAAAGGCTGTTAAAGGTTCATAAATAAATTATGAAATAATTAAACGGTACATGCATGTAAAGCTTTTTATGTTATTTTTCAGACTTAAATTCAACTACAGTTAAAGATCAAATTCAGACCTAGTTCCTTTTAATCATTCGACGCTATAGCCAAGAACTTGAACTCAAAAGTTGAGAAATTATGTAAATGTTTCTATCGCTATACGTGGCGCGCCTGCATTGTGGGCTTAGTTTCACGACCTGATGATTCACAGTTTTAATGAGAAGCAGAGAAGAAGTGCTTTCTAAAGAGCACCCCACCATTTGTGAAGTGCCATAATGAGACTATGGGTGCGGACCCATAATTCCGCGGAGAAGCCGATGGCTACCTAACACGCAATATCCAAATTCAATATCGTGGCGATTTGTAAATAATCATAGTCATTACACTACTACTACCCATATCTGTAAAGAGCACGGATAAAAGCTAAGAAGAAGTTCCTTTCGGTCCCCAACAAAAATGACAATTTGCACACTCTTTCTTAAGAGGGCGGAGCATGATAGATTTTAAATGTCTGCGGGGATAAGTGGAGACAGCCCGCAGCGATCCTCTTAATGTTGTTATTGCTTCTTAGATCTGTAACCATGCTAATATCCTCATACGCTGAACTCTCCCGCTGCCGAGGAAAACAAATATGTAGAAAGGTTTCAATACGAACCGTTTATCAATCGTGGTGAAAGAAAAACTTATGCTGATACAAAACTATTTACACCGCTTGTCAAGGCAACAATCAATTTGAAGGTGTCTGTTCTTCGCTTTGACCGTCTATTAGTCTATCTGACTTTACGCTTATTTACCGACGAACTTTTTCGCCGCAGTAAGTTGAAATATAATTTCTATCCCTGCTCAAAACATATTTTTTTACCCGCAACCGACGGATGACGATGAATTTGACTTTAACTGTTTAGAAATTGTTTATTTAGTACAATTTATTTATTTTGGTGCCGTCAAAGTTCTATGGGTTGAGATGTAACTGAGATGCTTTGCCGCTTTCTTACGCTACATCGCCGATTCTTTTACAACTTCAATTAATATGAAGCATTTTTCCTCCCTATATCTTGATTTTGCGCTACGATACACAAAACTAAACTTTTTCAAAACTGAACGAGAAACTTTGTGATATGATGCTTTTCATGATCAAAATATCTGTAGCGATGTTTTAGAAGAACTTAAAATATATGTTGATCTTTTGCCTCAACTCTCTACGATTTACGGGAGATATTTCTGCCGGTTTGTCTGAATATGTGAAAATACACAAAATATACAAAAATAAAGAAAAAATAAGAAAATAAAAAGAACAAAATTCGTGCATAAACAAACACAGAAGAAAGAAAAAAAAGAAGCATGCACACATGTAGTACAAAGGCACAATCATAACTGGCATAAATCCTGGTTATGGGTGAACCCCTAAGCCATTGCAAACATGCAAAACCTTGACAACCAACAATTTTAAAAAAGTGTAGTTGAATTTTCGAATCTTATGAAGATATTGAAATTAGAAGCTAATCTAAATACGACATAGAAAGAAGCGCGCGTATTTAGGAGAATTGATTCAATAGTTTTTAATAATTTCGACATTAAGATAGATATCATTTATAATTTAGAGTAGGACTCCAAAAGGATTGAAAAACTCATCATCACATCTACAGTGCTTAAGCTTTATGAAGGCAAAGCTCCTAGAGAAATTGCTCGTGACATTGAAGGGTATATTTCTAAGTAAGGTCGGCGTATCGATAGTATTAACTTAATTAAGAAGGAAACACCGGGAATAAATCTACGTTTTTTAAGTGACGGCAAGACTAGGCTAAGCAATCTATTTTGGTAAGGAGCCAAAGGGACAAGCCCATTCAACCCAAATCCCTAAGGACAAAGACCAGAAATTGTTTTCGAACGGATTCTATTGAATTTACATAGCGCCTGTGAAGCCATGCTTAAATGGGGAAATATACGATTTGATAGCGAAATGTATTTGCTGAGTAACAATTCGTTTAAACAATTTAGAGAAGACACTCAGTTTGGCGTCTATATTTCTCGACCAGATATCTGCTTCCACCTTTGTGATTTGGAATAAAGAATGTGCTCTTTCAAAAGGAAGAGCACCCGTTTTCAAAGAAAGACTAAAAAATGCTTGAGATAAACTCGTCCTTTCTAGATGGTACGTTCTTTAGGGTGCTTTCCGACTTTTATCAATCTGATGATGAGAATGATGTCGCTCCAGGCGTCCCACAAAAGAATCACTTGGGACCTATGAATAAAGCTAGATCAGTGCTAGGCTTCACCAAACGCTGTTGGAGGGAATTTGACGACCCATATGTGACGGGAACACTATACGTGAGCTAAGTACGCCCTACATTGGAATACGCATCGATGATACGTTCACCGTCGTATCGTATTGAATCTTTGTTCTTCTACGCTAAGAAAATTGTGTTGGAATCCAAGTGTCCCCCTATCTCCTTGCGTAAATAGATTGCTACTTATATCCTTACCGTTACCTTAGGAACGTAAGATGGTGTTGGGCATTGTTTTCATGGTAAAGTTAATTAATCGTGCCATTGACTTGCTGTTTTTGTTAAGTACGATTTTAACGCTTCTTTCCGTCCGACGAGGAACTTCTTAAAAGTCTCTGCAGCAACGTAAATGAGGTTGATAACCTAATTTCCTTATCGGATTCTGCTGCTTTCATTTGATGATCATGCACTGCCGATGTCTTATCTAAACTAATTGTTAAGTTCTATTATTCTGAATGCTAATGTGGAGTTTGATGAGTAATAGATAGACACGTAGTTTATTTTCTTATAGGTTTGCATTAACTGTCGGTTGTTTTAACACTTCTTCTGCTTGTATTGTAATAAGGTTAAGCTTTCAAGTATGTATGAAATGCACAGTTCGGCTGAATTTTCGCTGTAATTGAATTCTGACACATGATGGAATGCCATTAAGCACAGTCGCACAATTATATATAAGTGAATTTAAAGCTTGTAAGACATCTCTATGTGGAATGACTACATACGGAATGGAGATTGAATTTGTGGTTTGATATTGGTAATTATCACTTAAATTAGAACCAGCAATAGAGAAACTTCGACGAAAGAGATTCGAGGTTTTAGTATCACCAGAGCTCGTTTTTCTTATTTTTAAAGTATTTAATTACTTTATTGAAGCGTGGCGAGTATATACCTTGGTCCGATTGTCTGACGGGAACGAACGCAAGATAGTTGGGCCTAATACATTATAGAACGAGGATATTAGGGTTTCCATATTTCCGGCATCAACATCGTAAGGTGTGAAAGGTGATATTTCAGTGTGTGCAATATTTGCTTCATTGAAATCACATTGTACATTTTGACATTGCTTGTGTTTCTCTAATAAAGAAACTGGTGTAAGTATTTTCATACTAAAGAAATTGGTGGGGTGCGTTATTCGTTTGCAACATTCATGAAAAAATGTACGTACATATGCATCGTTCGTAGGCATAAAATTCTAAGTTAATTTAGTTGCGATTGTCCATTTATCCAAAATCAAACTAATTTGTATCAGCACCTAACAAACGAGTAAAAAATAGTGCGCACTTGAGGCGTGGACGTAAGAAAAACAATTTAAGCTCGTCCTAACAAAACACTGCCATGATATAATATTTGCAAACAGAGAATTAATAAAATACTATTTTTGCCGAAATATTTGAACTTTAGAAACTAAGAATTAGTGCATACATATGTGCATTCAGCTTTGCTTAGCTAAATCTAGGAAAAGTCATTAGGAACGACCGTAGTAGTAGTAGCATACAGAACGCATTGCAACGTGAAGTGCGAGTTGTCAGAATCTAACAGCTTTGCCGGATTTTCAAGTAATTGGTAGCACAAAATCAAGAGAAAACAAATAAGAATATTCAAGTGGGTCATAACATACTCCATAGCACAGTAACGACTTCAAAATAACACGCATAATATCCCGATCCAATCCAATTTCAATAGAATTCGCGTTTGAACCAAAACAAGCGCAAAATATCTCAAAAATTAAGAAATATAGCTTGAACCAAAAAGTCGGATGGCCAGACAAAAAGGCAAGATCAGAGTCGCTATCTGAATCATTCGATCAAACAAAAGATGGAACTATCTCAAGTCATGTCCTTGTATCATAACCGGTATAAGGTACAAAAAAAAAAAACAGGCGAACTTGAAATGACAACGTTCCACAAATGCGTTTGTTGGATGACATGAATCATTCCAAAGAAAATGAAAAAATTCAAATTCCCTTCAAGTCAGAGCCGAGATATTCACTTTATCAGTGGAAACGCGCTTGGTTGTTTAAGGAAAATGTAGTCTAAGTAATTTAATAACTAAAAAATGATGGCGAAGGTGAAGGCTTCCAACATGATATATCTCGCGTGGCTGTGCGAGGACTGATGAGTACTAATACGATGAGGATAAATTGTAGTAAACCTGATACCATACAGAAGATATGATATAGGTTGGATTAGGTCTTTGGAAAGGTATTTAATACCCAGAATTACTTAAAACAGAACCATTTTTCTAGATCGCTTTTTGAAAAACAATGACATATATATGGAAGCATAAAACATGGTCCAAAATAGTGTGATTCGAATAATGGGCAGTTAGCTGACGATAAACGAAAAGATCATTCATCAAGTAAGTAAATAGTACATTTGGAGTCTTAAGAAAAAATAAACTTTGCCAAATCAGTGCCAATTTGATGTTCAATTTTGAAAACGGGGTAAAATATGTTAAATCTCCGTAAGGAAAAAAAACAAAACAAATTAAAATTGGAAGCAAAACTGAGCAAAAGAGTTGGCGAAATTGTGAGTGGAATGAAAAAAAAAATCGCAATCAGGCATCACACCAACAACTCAAAGCTATGCATATCGAACTGAAGTGATCGCGTGGTTGAGCCACTTATTCCCTTGCAGTTTGGGACGATATGCGGACAATAGAAGTAGGAGCCTATTAAGTGCCATACATCATCTTACCGTAAACAATGATGGATACTTTATTCTGTCGAAAGAAACAAAACTGTGGCAACAGGAGGCCTAGTGATGGTGCGTCAGATATGCCACTGGCATGGCATGTACCACAACATTAGCTGAGTTGTACGGAAATGTACGTCACGTTTAGAGTATAACGTAGAGCAACGTAAACCCGCAGCAGAAATGTTCACGGAACTCCCAAAGAAGCTGTGGATGACTATATGTTCCGAATTTTTAGGCCCTATTCTAGTGACGCGATCGAGGAATACAATGAATGCTGTTTATCTTTATAGACAAATTTACCAGGTGTGCCGAGTTGATCCCAATACGAAGTGCTACCGTCGAATTACTCATGGAGGTATTACGGTAGAGGGTTCTAGGGCGCTTTGGAGGGGCTAGCGGTGTCACCACCGACACTGGTAGATGTTTTCGCTAGTATTTTGTTCTTAAAAATTCAATACGTATATTTTGGTTAAGGAGAGTTCCTTCCTACTGCACTTAGTTTTAGGTAGCTTCTTCTGTTCTTCACGTGTGTAAAATGTGATTTTATGTTCTAATATTAGATAAAAATACAACGCTGTAGAATGTCGGGTTGTGAATCTGCCTCTGTGATAAATTAATTGCGCTTTGTGTTGTTTGTTAGATAGGGGAATATTTCTAAAGTTCGTAAAAGTAGTCAGAAAATAAAAACCAGTTACTTGCAAAGCAAAAAAAAACAAAGTTTTTCATCAAAATTCACGCCGATAAAAAACAGTTCAACTTCGTAAGGTTTTGTATGGCAATCAAAAGGTTTGCTTCTATTTAATATCAAGTCCAATTGAAGTACAACCGCGTGGATCAATTTGTCGATCTTAAGCACACTACGCGTGTTTTCTAAAACGGATATTCACTTTAAATCAGGGGAAAAAACGGGGAAATAATAAATATGATCAGTGGGGAGACAAAAACAATCCCAAATTTAAATTAATTGCGCAATTGCAAAGTTGATTGCGTAAAAGTAGCATCTAAAACTTAACGGGCCGTCATAAAATTAATTTTATACGCTTAAAAACAAAGGAATGAGCTCTTTGATCGGACCCATAGAAGTTTTCAAAAATTCGCATTTTCTTTTTCTTTGGGATATACATATATAAAATAGATCCCAGATATACATGTACCCAAACAATATTAGATCTTGCTAAAAATGCATAAGTTATTTATTTACAGGTCAAACAAAAAACTATACACTAACGCATTAGTGAAGTGCACAGAATCCATTACCCGTATCGCTAGGAGAAAAAGAAGAATTTCAAAGGGTAACAAAGCATTTTGCATAATTACCTGAAGTAACATAATAAACTAATAAGTGGAAGGTGAACGAAATTAAATAAAAATATATTGTAATTAAACGCAAGCAAATCTGTTAAAGCAACTCCCAATTTGCAATGGCTTTTAAATTTTGGTGAAGGAATTCCACGTAAACCAAACAATACATTGAACATATAAATTTGAGAACATTCAGTTCTTGAATAGAAACTTGGCCACGAATGCAGCGAACTCAGCCGATATCACCTTCTCATCTTGAAAGCTCGTGTGTAGAAAAACTAAATTAAGCGTAGTATTACCAATAAATTGAAACTTAGAAACCACTTCAGAATAACACTTATTAGTATGAGATTAAGATGTCTATTCGAAAACAAGTTTAGCTCACATTCAATAATGCTTCCTTGGTGATGTCTTCATTTCATAATGAAGGTATTGATATCAGTTTTCTAAATTTTCAGTTTTGTTAATTTTTATGATTTAGTAAAATAGATAAAATGTTTTTATACAAGTAATATATATATAAAAATAAAAAAAAGACATGTCAATGAATATAAAAATTACATATGAATGAGCAACTTCACATATACACAAATTACATTGATTAGATCAGTAATGAGAAATGAGCCTATACACCAAATGTGCGTAAATTATATATATATGTATATATATATCTAACATGAAATGAAGTTTGGATTTTTGTTAAGAGAAAAGCTTAGGGGTCCTCGCACCCAACTTTGAGGTCTCTAATTGAAAACATTAGTCGAAGACAATATGTAGGGTACGATGCAGAATGGTCCAGCCCGTTCGGTAAGTAGGTTTCGCCCGTCCGTTTGTTCTTCTAAGGGTAAAACACGTGTATTTCCTTTAGTTGTAATCGTCTATGCAGTGTCCGTGGGATAAAACTTTGAAATCCCCATATCGCGCTAGCTAGCTAGTTACCTCAGAAATGACACGTGCGTCCGTCTCTACGATCAATCCTCTTAAAATGTAACTCTAATGAAAGCAATAAAGTCCATAGTTCTATAGATAAACAAAATGTAACGACATGTAGACAGCTTCCCCGTTATACATAAAACTTGCCTATGCAAAGTACTACACATGGGAGCTTTTACCGAAACATTTCCCTTCTAAGTTTACAGGTGACTACCTTTAACGTTCTTCTCTCTTCTGGATTCCCTTTTAATTTTCTCACATTGTAGCCAGTCGTCTTCCCACAATTGATTTCGATCGTTACCTCTTTTTCCCTTCACATTCCTGTGAACAAGAGTTTTCAAAAGGGATAATGAAAATAGGAGACATTGGACCTATTTACGTCTTAACCGATGTCCCCGGACGTACTTCTATTCCCCCATACGGTTTCAAATTTGAAATATGAAAGAATATGATTGAAAGTATGAGACAGTGTAGAATTCCAATTAAGGCGGCGTTTGTAACCTTTAAGAGTGGGAGGGTAAGGTTTGTAACCTTTAAGAGTGGGTGATGCCGAACTATCGTCTGGTCTCCACGTCCGAAACATTAGGTTATAATCAAATCTTTGATCTTGCGTAACTTGCTTAATATTCCTTCTTATTAAATAGGTAAATCCTTCGAGAGTTTTGGCTCTCTTCGATGATGACTTTTCAAATTTTCAATAGCCTTCATGTCGCCTTCATCATATCCTTCATCACGTAGACGTGGGCTTGCGTCCCGGTATGATATACGTTGGTGTATACCCTGTAGAAGTAGAGATAAACGCGTCGACAACCATTAATAGCGGAAGGTATTTTTACTACGTAGTATGGTCTGCTTCGCAAAATTCTGCTACGATTGCTTTTATCGTTCGGTTCACTCTTTCCATCGCACTCCTTATTCTCGGAGATATGCCTTGAAAGTGTTTGCTGGTGTGTTGGGTTCCGTTGGCGGTAATGAATCTCTTGAGAACCAAATCGGCTTACGATTCTTTCGCTTGACTATACTGTCGCAACTCACTTTGCCATCCGCAAATTTTCCGCTTGCATACCCTTTTATCAGCAAGTTCTTATTACCTAAATTCATCGCAACTTTTTTGATCCGTTAATAGATTTTCCCGCAAAATTTCCTGCCAATCGTAATTAATCCTTTCTCTACTGGCCAGCTGTACGGCGCAGATAACGCGCTATGAATGCGTACTTGGTTTTTCCTTTTCTTTAGAGTTTGATTTCTTAGAAAATCTATTTCATGAAATATCAAATTATCAAATATGGCATTTTCCAAACAATATATCTTGCACAATTGTCGTTGTAAAGTCTTCAGGGATTGACAATATTATTATAGTGTCCCCTGTTATTAGCTTGTTAATTGTTTTGGTTTAGAGTGGTTACCACTTTCTTTCCAAACTAAGAAATGGAAGTTAGTAGGCTTTTTATTTGTATTGCATACAATTCTTCAGTTACGGTGAGTGAGGCAATTTGATTATTGGAGGTGTTATTGTGCACTTTCACCTCTTCTCTGACTTGTTTGTTTTCCATTTCAGGTTTTGTTAGAGTTTTCTTAGTCGACTTTCAAAAACATACTCATAGCGTTCTTAGGCGGCGGTTATTAATTATTAGCGTACTGACCTTCTTTTCGCCTCGTTGTTTCTTTTTCTCAACCATTATAGAGTGCGTGCTAATTGTTCTTCTGCGTCTCCTTTACATCTTTATTGATATGGGCCTAGGCCGATGATATGCCATCTCCATAGGGAATGCCGATGATCCATAGGGAAATATGACAGTGGTTCAGCTGTCCAGACAAATATAGGAAGTCTCATTAATATTGAATTTTTTCGCTCGACAAAAAGTAAATGCTTACTAAACCTAGTCCATTGTCCAAATATATATTAAAAAAGCAAACAAAACTTTATTTCAGTAGACAAGAACACAACACAATTTCAAAAACTCAAAACACATAGCGTCATTAATATTTGGATTTTTCATATAAGCAAGGATACGAAGAAAAAAAACGTCATATTAACAAAATTAATATTCGGTGGAGTATCCTTTTTGCTTAATAACGTCATTTAAACGTTTTAACGCACATTGTCCAATATTTCTTGTGTTCAAAACAGGGATCTTACACCAATCTTCTTGTTGTCTATTTTTGAGATCATGGGCGAAAAAGATTGAGTGATTTCGCATACAGCGGCTCAATTCGTCCCACTTATTTTTCATAGGTTTCCTGCCCGGTGATTGGAGAAGAGGGTGAAGCACTTTGAGGCAGTTATATAAAAGACGCGTCGCTAGTCAAGAGTAAAATTTTCAAGTTCAGAAATACATTATCAAATCATAAAGTAAGTAGTTCACATAAAGATAGCAAACCCCTTTTGGAATATTATCAAATTGCTGCGGAAATAACGCAACTTCATTCCACCTCTTAAATATCGAGATAACACACTCTTTCCATGTAGTGATCAAACTGCAGCTTTTCCAGAAACATTTTTAGAAAACCATTGTAATTTGAGTTCTGCGAGTCCTGCGAGAATACGTATGTACTCAATTACAGTTCATGCCTCAAAGGAAGATTCTATAAGTAATCACGTTGTTCAATGTTTAATACGTGAAATATGCCCAAGAAAGTCTCTAGGTGTGGATTAAATCGAAAATATAGCTGTAAAAATGTTCCCCGTTTTTTCAATGCGTAATTAACTCATCCATCAAAGTGCAATATTTTCCAAATATTTGGAAATCGGCTAAAGTTATTCCGATTTCTAAGCCAGGCAAACCACCAACGACTTTAACATGTTGGTGTTATTCAAATAGCCATCCAACTCGTGATGAAAGGACAAACAAATTGCTGACTGATACAGATCCACAAGCAAACTAAAAGGTAGACAGCGATTTACAATTGTCTCTGAGAGAAAACAAAGCAGAGATGTGGCAATCTACCATTTACGTTTACAAGCGCGGTTGTATTCAAATAAGTTTCGGTCAAATAGCTCTCTCAGATGTTGGTGTGGTAACCATACAGCCGGAAGTTTCACTATAAGACTAATTGAACAATACACTAGCTCTCTCAAATATTAAAGTGGGGACCACACAGCCTGGAGTATCATTATAAGACCAAGTGGATTAGGGTCACTCAACACTATGACTATATCAGAAAGTCGGTCACACCAAATTTGCCATTAATATGACTGTTTTTTTAACGAAACGAAAGCCGTAGATTTTCCGCCATATTTTCAGTGAATTAAAACAAGAAACTTGATTTGAAACTGAAATTGAAAACTTAAAGCAAATTTTTTCGTGCCACCAAATTATCCATTGTTAACAATGCAGGGCATTTAAACGCTGATTATCAAAGACATTCGAATTTTAAATAATAAGATTGCGCTTAAATTCGAAACAATTTAATTAAAAAAACAAGGAGTCATTTTCTACTTTAAAAACCTTTTTTCAGGCTTAGTCACCAATGATTGTGAGATTTTGGATAGAAATAATGCCTATCAGTAACTCCTGTGTGTGGGGAAAAGGCTTCAAATCGAATCTTCTATTTGATGATAACGTGGTCTCAATATTTGAACTGCATGTAAAAAAATTTATCAAAAATTTTGTAGAAGGGGACAAAAGAGCTGCTAATGAAAAACAAAAAATTTTCTGACCGAAAACGGTAAACACCAAGTACACGTTACTATATAAATAATACATATTATAAAGTTAGTAGACCTGCCAGTCTGACGATTTGTGCTCTTCGTATTACATATTTTTACCCATTTTGAACTTGGAATACGCTATTTGTAGCAAATCTAGGACGAGAGTAAGTTGAAGAAGCGTCAATAGTGTTCTTTCAGTTGCTAGCTATTACAGAAATACTTCGTTCAAAAGTATTGTTACGAAATTTTTTTCTGGATACCCTTTTTCGGGCGGCAGCTGCATAACGCGCCATGAATTTGCACTTGGATTTTCCCTCCCACGGAAATTTATTTTCTGGGATAATCAATTAGTTCAAATAAACGGTATTTGGGGTTTCCGTAACAGTACATTATATATAACAATGTTCAGATTTCCTTTTCAAACTCTACGAATTTTAGACACACTCAACAGAAAATAAGCAGTCGGA